AATGAAATGTAAGGTTATGATAGAAAAAACCTCCCACTTGCGCTCGAAAAGTATGGGCCCAAAAGCTTCAAACCCAAATTTATTTTAACCCGTACCCCTCTCTTCCGCTCGCTTTATTCTCTGTCATAGAGGCCCCTCTTCTCTCTTGCTGCCAAAGACGCCCCCAACACTCTCTCGATCTTCCTAGCTGCCAAAGACGGCACCAAAGCCCTCTCGACTCTCCTGGCTCCCACAGAAGTTGGATCTCTGCCACGAAAAGTTCTTCAGCATCAATTCAAATGAGTACACCTCAAATCTTATCCTCATTTGTGTGTGTGTGTGTGTGTTGTTTTTTTTTTGCTTGAATCGAATCCACAATTTATGAATAAACTCCAACCCTAAATCAATAATAAAACCCAATTTTTTTCCAAAACACCAACCCAAAATTTTTTGGTAGATCCCAAAATGATATATTCCAATAAAACCCTACGTTTTTTCCATAATAAATCACAAAAAAAGGGAGAAGAAATCACAGTCACAAAAAATGAAAATGGAAGACAAAACTATATATGGGATAGGAAATTTTCGGTTTGGTTAAAAGAATATAGGTGATTGCAATTTATCATAGTTTAAATCGTATATTTATCACCAAAAACTCCAATATTATTCTTCGATGTCCAAAAAAAAGCCGAAGTTTGTGATTATATCCAAAAATGAAATTTATGAATAAAGCCCTTTCTTTTGTTCTTCCTTCTTGTTGATAGAAATTGATTTTTTTTTGTATAGTATTATTTTGTTAAGTTTGGTTTGATTTGTGGAATTTTTACTTATCGTTCATTGGGTCAAATGGGTGGTTTTAGTTCCTTTCTCTTTTGTTGTTGCTTCTTTTTTTTTTCATTTTTGATATAGTCCTAAAGTGATTGTAGATCAAAATATTTGAGTGGTTTTTTGTTTTTCTTTTGCAGATCGATGGCTTTTTTTTTGTTTTTTTTTAAGAAATTTTGGAAGTAGCATTCTAACGCAACTTTTTTGTTTTTGGTTTTTGGAACATTCACAATGAGTTTTATGATTTTATGATGCTTGGGGTTGGGTTCTCAATGACCGGCAAGTTGGTTGGTCATCACGATTGTGTCATCAAAGTATTCTAACAGCGATTCATTCTCTCTTTATGCTTCTTAGTGAGTTGAGTACAAGGATGTGCCTCTCAGTTCTATAACAGCCCTACAGTGATCATAGGATAGTCACCATACCATACCATGTTTGTATCGTTCTTTTTTTCTCTCTTTACCATATCTCTTAACTTGAGTTTGTAGAAAGCTTCTCTTCTCCCACACACTCCATTCATGGTCTCTAGGTGGCAATAAAAGATGCATGCAAGCCTCTACAAAATCAGTGTGTTTCTTCTATGATTTTGTTCCATTTTTTTATTACAAATATTATTTGAAATTCAGAAAATGTTCCATGAACAAGGAGAGAACTTGGGTCATCTCATTTGGCTCGAAATCCATTTGATAGAAGAGTTCTCTGGCTTTATGGGGTTGTTTGTTCTGTGCATAACTAGATATAATTGAATTCCATGAGCATAGATTTCCTTGATTAGGAATACTACCAAATATAAGCTTTGCACTTTTGATATTCTTGCATTTGCAGTACATAGATAGTAATGCATTGATTAGATAGAGATTGAATTCCATTCCAGTTTTGAGTACATATACACAAACTCATGTGCCTCAGTTTAGAAGTTTGAGCTCAGCACAAGCACTAGAAACACTCACAATGGTAATAGGGTCAGGATTTATCGGTATAAGAAGCATTTGGTCAAAGGTCTCCAAGGCTTCTTTGCAAAATCCTTTTTGTGCACATCCAACTATTACCGTGTCCCATGAAACCACATCTCACACAGAAATATTCTTGAACATTGACAGCCCATATTCTAAATCTCCACAGTTTATGTACATGAAGATGGTGGCATTTTGGGCAGCTACAATTTGTGAAAAACCCGATTTGATTTCTCAAGAGTGGATTAATCTCCCAAATGCAAATGCCTCTAAATAGTCACAAGAGGAATATTAGAGTAGTTAGGTTATATCTATGACTAGAATTCAACAATTCTCAAAAAATAATCACAATATCTCTTGAAAAGCCATTATCTGAATACCTCGCAATCATGGTGTTCCATGTGATCAAATCTCTCTCATCCATCCGTCCAAGAAGCAACCTTGATGATCTTATATCATAGCATTTTGTGTACATGTCTATCATACTATTAACCACAGTCAAATCCAAACCCAATTCTTTTCGAATCACAAATCCATGTATAAACTAGCCATGCTCCAACAATTTTGATTTTGAGCAAGCTGAAATTAGAGTAACCATAGTAACCATAGTAATCGAATCAGGTTTGAAACCATCTAATTCCATCTCCTCCAAAAGGCCAAAAGCTTTTGAAACTCTTTCATTCACTATGAAAGCATTGATCATTGAATTCCAAGACACCAAATCCCTACTAACCAGTCCTTCAAGGACCTTACAAGCATATTCAATATCATTGATTTTTGAGTAAAATGAAATGAGTGAATTACACAGAGAAATATGAGCATTCGCGAACCCTCTTTTGAATCCCCAACAATGAATAGACTTTCCAATGTTTGGGTTCCCTAAATCATCGCAGGCTGAAATTATGACTGATAGAGTTATTGAACTAGTAACTATATTTTTGCAGCAATCTGATGTATATATGGTGTTTACTGGTTCTTTTGATAATGAAAGAGTGGTCATTTTTATATTACTTTTGACATTTCATTTGTTTGTGAACGCAATGAGCGTTGAATCTTTAAGTTTGATATTTTCTTATTTCTATATAGTATCAGGTTGGGGTTGGTTACATTGATACCACATTATGTTTTGGTGAGCAACACATTTCCTGTCTTGATATGGATATGGCCCTAGGAAGGTAGAGAGTTTTCAGTGAGGTTTTTTCCTTTGCTTTATTGTTTGAGATGCATTGTGCCCACAGCCTATCTCGCTAGCAAAGTTGAAGAAATATGCTTGGCTGCTCTATGTCCGTGATGTCTGGAAACCCTTCAGAAGGGTTCTGGTTAGTGCTGAAAGCGCTGAAGAGAGGCAAAGATCGTCACTGCCTTGCTATGTCTGTGACAGGTAAAAACCCTCCAGGAGGGTTCTGGTCAGTGCCGAGAGTGTCGAAGAGATGCCAAAGTCCGTCACAGCTTTATAGAGTCGTGACACACTGTCACGAACCTATTATCAAACACTCAACATACCAAATAAAGTAAAGTGGGAATTATCTGAATATAAATGCATTTCACTATCTGTGTAAACCCACATTGCATACATAAATGTCATACATGAAAAAATAAGGCTTTTACAAAAAAGTACTTTACATGCCCCCATAATTAGGTCCTTTACATGCCTTTATAAATAGGTCATGTACATGCCCCATAAATAGATCATTTACATGGCCCCAAAATTATAATGACTATTCAATATTCACATGGCCCCAAAATTATAATGACTATTCAATATTCACATATCTAGTTATGCGCAGAACAAACAACCCCATAAAGCCAGAGAACTCTTTTATCAAATGGATTTCGAGCCAAATGAGATGACCACGGTTCTCTCCTTGCTCATGGACCATTTTCCCAATTTCAAATAGTATTTGCAATAAAAAAAATGGAATAAAACCATAGAAGAAACGCACTGATTTTGTAGAGACTTGCATGCATGTTTTGTTGCTACCTGGAGACCATGAATGGAGTGTATGAGAGAAGAGAAGCTTGCGGCAAACTCAAGTTAGGAGATATGGTAAAAGGAGAAGAAAAGAACAATATAAACATAGTATTATGACTATCCTATGGTCACTGTAGGGCTCTTATAGAGCTGAGAGGCACGTCCCTATACTCAACTCACTAAGACGTAGCAAAGACAATCGATTGCTGTTCGAAAACTTTGATAACATGATCGTGATGACCAACCAACTTGCCAGTTATTGAGAACCCAATCCCAAGTGTCATCAAATTACAAAACTCATTGTGAATGTTCAAAAAACAAAAAACAAAAAACAAAAAGCTTGTATTAGAATGGTACTTCCAAATTTTCTATAAAAAAAAAAAAAAAACAAGTAATCGATCTACAAAAGAAAAACAAAAAACTACTCCAGAAGTTTGCTCTTTAATCACTTCAGAACTATATCAAAAAAAAAAAAAAAACCCTAGAACAAAAGATAAAGGAACTAAAATCCACTCATTTGACCCAATGAACGATGAGCAAAAAGTCCAAAAATCAAACCAAAATTAACAAAATAATATTATAAGAAAAAAAAATCAATTTCTATCAACAAGAAGGAAGAACAAAAGAAAGGGCTTTATTCACAAATTTCATTTTTGGATATAATCACAAACTTCGGCTTTGTTTTGGACATCAAAGAACAATATTGGTGTTTATTGGTGATAAAGGTACGATTTAAAAACAAATTGGGGTTGACTCTTGATATAGAGTTGAGTTTATTCAAAAATTGTGGGTTTAGTTTAAGAAAAAAAAAAAAAACACAAATGAGAATAAGATTTGAAGTGCACTCACTTGAATTGATGCCGAAGAACTTTTCGTGGCGGAGCTCCAACTTCTGTGGCAGCCAGGAAGGTCGAGAGGGCTATGCTGCCGTCTTTGGCAGCCAGGAAGATCAAGAGGGTTTCGGGGGCGTCTTTGGCAGCAGGAGATAAGAGGGGCATCTGTGGCAAGAAGAGAGCGAGCAGAAAAGAGGGGTATGGGTTCGTTTGCGGCAGAGAAGAGAGAGAGCGAAAGAGAGGGGTACGGGTAGAAATAAGTTTGGGTTTGAAGCTTTTGGACCAATATGTTTCGTGTGCAGGTGGGGGTTTTATTCGATCACAACCGTACAGTTCATTAAATTAAAATAGACGATGGATAATAGAGAGGCGAAATCACTACTCCCTATTGCCTATAGGCATTGGGAAGA